TCTTGACGACCTGGGAGCGTGACCGCAGAGCCCAAGGGACAACTGCTTGAGGCCGGTCGCGCACGGCCTTTTTGTGGAAGGTTTTTGACGTGTTAGCTCCGTTCTTCAAAGGGCCTTACCGCCGGAGACGGAAATCCGTGAGGTAAGGTGGTGACATTTTTAGGGTCGACCTTTTCTAACCCCACCCCTCCTTGTGGGAAGGCAGCATCGCTGTCATGCTGGTTGTCCGAAGGAAACACCTTACTGCTGTCACACCCCTCTACAGTCAGCAGTACGACTTCGCCCTCAGACCTTGAGTTGCTGCTTTTAGTCTTACCGTTCTTCAATCGACCTGCCTGGCATGGTAGAACCTACAGGAACATATGTTCCAGCCAATATAGCTCGGTTGGGTCATCACGATAGGCAAGCCCGACCACCGCGTCAACGTAGCAGCTTCGGTCGGGTTGATGTTTGCAATCAACTCTCAACCAATCAACCATAACAAGTCCTCCGATTTTGGGGAAATCCCCGAAGTCCAATAACAGTTGGCAGTTTTCCCCAAAGTTCGGAGAAATTTTCAGGAAAAACCTCAAAATCCGTGTTACATAGTTTTTTGAGCAAACAGTTAATTACCAGTGTTCTTTTTAAGACGAAATGACAATTAATCATAATAGTTTTCAATATGACAATGAAGTTCAGCCGGAATTACATTACCAACCTTCAGGTCTGGTTTGTCAGATAGACAAGAGATAGAGGAAAGTCGGTTTCAATAACACTGCCGCAACAACACAGTGGTACCGCGACACTTCTCATCCTTGCACAAAATACGAAACGATATTCGCTTCATAACAATCCTCTTGACATACTGGACAATGAGTCCGTCACAGGAAAAGATTTACGTCACAAAATTACTAAGCAACATTCAGAATAAACAGGTAGGAAAAAGAAGTATGATCAAAGAATCGTGACTAGGAATAAAGACGCTACAAGTATTCATAGATTGACATCTTATATGATCGAAATGTGCAAACCGAGTCAAGGTCGGAAGCGAAAATGTTCGAAGATATATTTGATAGACTATCAATATATCCAGAAGTGATCAATCTGGTAATTGGCCGTATGAGATGTGAAGTACGGTGTACCCATTCGTGACCTGGTGGATATGTGGAACCGAGTGCATTCAGCTAGGCGAATCCATTAAAACCAATGCGATCAGCACCAAATTTCGAAGACCAACAGTGCTGCTATTTTGGGGATTTACTTACCGCTACAAGTGTATGCTTTTACATACTGTTCAGCTAAACATGTAACCAGAATGCATACTATTAGTTAAAGTTTATCTTATAAACACTATAGCGACAGCACTGCCTTCTATTCTGAGCCATGTCTGTCGAAGTTTAAAGACATAGATATATCACCTCTTAGACTTCAACTGCAAAACCAAGACGGAGAAACATATAGTCCACACTGTGACTCTGTCTTTGGCCACGATCGATAAGAACGAGTCAATGGATTACATTTTAGTTCAAAGACACGACCTAAGATTCATTTGATTCCAAACTAGTTGCTACTGTTATTTTTTATCCGACTAAAAGTTATAAAGACACGTCTTTCTTTATGGACTATAATAACTCTTTCTTGGCTCCATTTCGTTGTACCTGCTACAGTGCAGGAATGGTTTAATTGTTGCACTTAAAAATAGCTGCATTATCTTATGCCTTTTACAATTGTCCTGCCACAAGTATAGCAACATTCTAAGGGATTATTCAGACATTTGTTCATATGCAAACTGAGTCCCACAACGTTTCGAAGAGCATACTGTTTACATTGGGTAATCAGAACACATACTACTGAGATCGATCCTGGGAAGCATTATGAAGCAGATATTTCGTAACAAAACCTGCGTTGTCCAGACTGATCGTACCAACCAGTTGATATGGAATAAACACAAAATTAATTCTAAGAGCCAGAGTTATAAAACCTGGATGTGAACCTACTAGAGAAAAATGTAATGTCAAAGAAACTGCCACAAAAAGAGGAGGAAAACACTTATCAACATACTTTCAAAATGAAAGTTAGGAAATCGAATAATCCCAATCAAGAATTGGTGCACATTTCAATAGTGAATAGGTGAACACGATATTGAAATCTTCGAAACTGATAAAGGGATAAATGATAAGATTGAAACGTGCCCCTGCATGTTTTTGAATTCTATAAGTTTTTAAGTATGTAGTAGTAATGAAAATATCGGATTTGGAGCGAAGTGGAATTACCTTACTTAGTACTGCGACAGTTAAGGTAAGACCGTCGTGATATGCTGTGCGTTGTTAGCGCAAAACAAGCTATTGAAAAGCAACGGAACTTCATGCGTACGAACTTGTCGAGACATAACAACCGAAAAATCAATCGATGCATTGTGAAATCCTCCTAATAATAAAGGAAATTTTCCAAACGCTTGAGAAAGTTAACTCCTGTGGATTAACTTTGAAGCAGATGAGTTACATTTCAGAAGTGAACATCCCTATACCAATCAAAAATATGATTCGAAAACCCACAGTGATTTCAGCAATAATATAAGATTAATGAGGTGTTGGAATAAAATTCATAGATGACAACCCCCTCAAAACTAGTGTTTAAAATTGATGACATTAAGTGGAGTTTTCACTTAACAGTAACTTATATACTTGAATATCAGCATTACAAAGTGTTGCTCCAGATGTGGGCGCTCTTTAGAGACAATGGTTACTGGACACAAAATGCACGCATGTTGAAGCAAAACAATTTAATCCGGAATGCTAGCCCATGAAGGGTGAAGAGCAAGTCTGAAAAACCCCACTAGATCTGAAGACGTGCCCAAAATTCATTAAATAATTTTTTACTACCGCTGGATAACAATGAAAAGAGATTATTTACTTAGAAAAAAATATGTTCAAATAAGATCTCTCAATGGAATAATTCAATGATGTACAAAAAAATGATAGTTAAATGGGTTTCTTCATATGATGATAGAATAAGTGTGACGAAATCCGTACAGACTGAATATAACAATTGTGTAGGATATGATTAATGAGTTACAGCTTTCGAACTATTTGGAATAGTCGAACAACGAACTCAACTGCTACAACCAATGTCAAGCATTGGGCAAGGATCTGAAAAGTAAAAACGTTACAATATCAGAAAATTAAAAATGGCATAGTACATATGTAACCTAAATTACCAACTCTATCGTAATGGTGGTAGAATGTATATTTCCTATCGAGATGATGAATAGTATGAACGAGATGATATTGTGATTAGGTTACCACTGTTTGTTAATAAGATTATTTAGTCGTTTGGCGCAATATCAGGAAATACTGGTTGTCACCACATAAGCAACTTGACGGGAAAATTAACACACGTATAAGGAATCTATACGCCTACATAAATGTTCGATCTTATCTCGACAACTACTGAAACGAAAAGCTATATTCAAACTACATATGTACCGATTCTAGATCTGAAAGAAAGGAAACTGAGATAAACATTAACCTTTTTAGGAAGGTAGCTTACTATTCAGTCATAATTAGATTTTCAAAAAAGATCAGAGCAGAGTTGGGAACCGGAGACTACCCCACACACTTTATTTTTTGGCTTGAACCTACACACGTATTAGTGTACATATAATTTACGCAGTTGCTGTCATGTTGAATAAAGACGTAAACTACCAAGTCTTTGTTCTAAACAGTAAAACAACAGCTTTACAACGGTGTAAAAAAGTTTATCTAACTATTTTTTAGTGACTAATAAATATTACAAAGTGACTTCATGTATTTAACGGGATTATAGACAATTTGTTTAACATGGATATATTAGAGGTCCATAAATTGGTACAACCTTGACAAAACGAACCAAGGACCGAAGTAATTCGATACCGTTATTACTAATTATGCAAAGGTATACGCAACTAGACGAGTGCTATCTAAACAGTAAACTTTTGTTTTATGCGAAAAATCCTAGGATACCTACAAGGAATTAGGAAAAACTTAACTGGAATTCTTTAATTATTGAAGACGACAGACAAAAAGAATGTGAGGAAATATTCAATGAGCCCACGTTTCTTACGAAAAAACTAAGCGATTTAAAAACCTTAATTATAGCACAAAATAAGTCTTAAATCCACTTGCTATTGTTTACTTGAATCATCCCATTGATGTTTAACACTGCAATTGACTATTCACTTATTGGCATATGTGCATATTGCCTTAATTCACAAGCATCACAAGCAAAGATGGATAGTGGTCAGCAATAGAATCCAGGACGCGCGTTTCGTCCTACTTAGGACTCGCCAGCTGGATGTACCTGCATCTTACTATGGTACTCGAACCCAGTACCAGTTGACGAGTCCTGACTAGAACGAAGAGCGCGACTGGGATTCCACAGCCAAACACTATCCATCTTTGTTCATAATGCTTGTGAATTAAGGTTATGTCGAGGCAGTACGCACATATGCCAATAAGAGACTAATCAACTGCAGGTCTAAACATCAAAGGGAAGATTCAAGTAAACAATACCAAGTGAATTTAAACTTCACCCTATTGCACAAGCAAGTGGCTATCAGGACTCAGTAGCTAAGTGAATAACGCGATGAAGTTTGAAGCGAATGCTACTGGGTTTGGGCCCCAGGATGAACATTAAATCTGAGATGCAGGTACATCCAGCTGGCGAGTCCTGAATAGGACGAAACGCGCGTCCTGACAGCTATCATCCCAGACTAATATTCACACTTTTAGTGTGGTAAATGTTTTTTGGAATTTCTTAAAACTATTTGTTCTAATTATGGATTTACAAACGAAAAGAATTACATCAGTGAAGCAAAGGACGAAAACAAAACTGCTACTTTTATTATATAATCAGTTGGACAAACACGCATGTGTCGAGTGAGGATGAATTTTAAAAATAAGAGAAAGAAATGGCTATGATATGAAAATCAAACCTACCATCCGAACGAACATTGACATGAAGACGAAATAAAGGATAATTGATTAGTTCAGAAACAGTTGGTCTATCTTGAGCAAGGGTCGTAAAATACTCTATCAGACAAGTACAGTAAAATTAAAGGAAAATCTGAAATTCATGCAGAAGTTAAAACAAAGTTTGTACATCTGTTAAATGTTAAGCAACTACAAAAATTAAATATATCAGAAGAAGCTTATTCCTGGTGGTCAAAACCTTGACAAAACCGGAAATTACATGTTCGAAACTTCTATTTATCGTTTGATGATTCACTACCAAGGCTAAATGTGGTAACAGAGTTACGGTGATCTTATAAACATGGTGATGGGTGGTAATCAATGGGTAACAATCCAAGCATAATTAGAATTCTTTTCTATCAGCAATCTTCAAATTCGTTTAGAACGTCGAATAGTCCAACGTATATGTTGCCACAAGAAGGAGAATAAACTGAATTTTGCTCCTTTGTGGGCAAGTACAGATCCACTCAATGAAGATGCTTGAGAAGGATTTCACCAGAAAGTCTAGACAACCATACTTATGCTCCTTTGAGAGACGGAATTAAAAAGAAAAAATACAATGTTTTACTCATTGTAGTATTCGATTTTGTTTTCCAATGTCATATTGTATTGTGTATAACACGATATTCTTGTATTAAATTAACATGAACATGCAGCGTATGATTTGTTATAACTGTAAGGATTTTTCATATATGTGATTTCATCCTAATTAATAATCGACTAGGGTCGTCATGTTTTAGGGTTAATAAATCTTCACTTGTACCAGTCTTTTGGTCTTACTTTTGTGTCGTGGGAACAGCGGTGGTTCCTCGTTTTTACAAGTATAATTAAGTGATTCCGACATAATAATCAGAGACGACCAGATATTACAATTAATGACGCAGTCATAACAGTCAACTACCAGTCATAACATTTGGCGACGGGGATGGGATTCTAACCCACGCAGGGAAACCCCAATTAGAAGACTTATCAGAACTTACGGTGGCGAGTGTAAGCAGATTGGAAAAGTTTGAAAATCTAAGTGCTTCGATATCCAGAAACGAAGTGATTGTCGTATGACGCTTGCAATCTCTTTTATGCAAAATATTGTCATCTCATTTATGTGGGGAACTTTTGGTGCCATAAATAAATAAGTACACAACTACCCTAATCTCACAGAACCTAACTTGTACATTCAAGTATTAATAAAGTACTTGGAACATTTATATAACACTGATTTGAACTTGGAGATTTTGGAATCATCCTCTTCGGAAACCATTTATTTAATACAAATTTAAACGCTTATTTTTGAATTAGCATCACATGATCACGGTAAGCAGTTAAATATAAGAAAAGTGCAGCAGCAATACTATCTTTACACAAGAAATTATGCTTGATACCTTAGTTTTGGGGAGGAATGTTGGAAGGGAATGGTACAGTAAAATATAAAATAACCAACGAACATTATAGATTTCCTAGACAACCACATTGAACAAGATATAAGGATATTGGCAGACAAGAACAGGTAGAAACTATGTAAATCGATAGTGGTCAAGAAAATTCAACGTGCAGTAATTTTAAACCTTCTGCGATAAAACTCTGTAAAATAATGTCAGTTCCATTGTTGGTCAGTGTAGCAGTTTTTGCTTATCGACCAGTGTTAAACATTTGAAAACAAGATTTCGATTGATTTCCCAGTGACATTTTTCATATTAACAAAAAACACCGAGAACTTGGAAGTGCAGTCCAAGAATCAAAAGAGAGTTTAAAAAACGAAATACTGTGAAAAGGTAAGCATCTGGTTTATAGAGGACCGAAATAAAATGTAAAACATATGAAGATTGATAGACACAATTTACAGTAAAGTCAAAAGATCTAAATACTAATTTTGGTTGTAGAACCCTAAAGAGGAACCGTAAAATCTCACAAACTTCATCAATAGTTTGACTACATTTTTTATGTTAAATGAATGAAAATATGAAAGTACTAATAAAGAAATGCCACAGCAAATGAAACTATTAGAAATTTAGATTCGTTTGTCGGCTATATTACTTTCATAAATCCTTATGTTCCACTAAATTATAGATTCTAAAAAATCTTGTGCATTGAAGCATCAAAAATGTGGGACACGAATGAAGTGATGTTTCAAAGAAAAGGGAGTGTAAAGGGTCCAGACCAGCATAAACTGTTATAAATAAATTGATCTCGTCTGCCACGCCACCAACGAGACTCACATAACTACCTTGATGCACAAACTTTTCAAATATTTCTAAGGTATCATCGCAAACTGTATAGACATAAGCTTTTAGTTTTGCTGGAATAATTGTATTTAGCTGTATAGTACACACCATATTCAAGGACACTAATTAACAACCGACTACTTGTGATTTGGATGGTCTGTGTATCATCACAGAGAAGGACAATCTCATAAGCATAATCAAAATTGAAACATTTCAACAGTTAACAGATTTACACCACTACCACTACGTAATTTCCAGAACATTATCGACAACAAAGATAAACACTAATGGTGAGGATAGGAAATCCTGCCTAACTCCACTGTTGAACTGGTACAATCGATTGAGGTGATTGTGTAGAATAAATCTGACTTACGTAGGTTACTATGTACTTATTATAGATGAAAAATTGAAAAATGCCTGATACATTGAGGAACTGTAATGTATGTAAAGAACAAAGCATCAGTGTTGAGGGACTCGTTAAGGAATCTACTTTTTCTACTTGTCGCCTCTCGTATGAGGATGTGTTTATTGTATCTAATATTTTAATTTATTAATACGGTCAGGTTGTTTCCAGTAAAAACAAGATGAAATTATACCCTTCAAGGGCTAACACAAGGCTGTAAAAACCTAGAACCCAAGTGATTCATAAATCTGAAGGAATGGATAAACTTGTTATACCTATAAAAAACAACAACAGAAAGTATCCCACGACGACGCATTACTGCCTTGAAAACAAAACATGTCCTGGAGATGGATCTGTAGGATCTAACCCAATGGACATAAATAACTTGCTTTATGAACACTAAAGATAAAAATAAAAGACCAGACCATAAAATTTATATTACACTTGAAGTACTCTTTTAATAATAGTATGAGTAATTATGCGTTTTACTTACTTTTACAGCTGGTCTCAAGGAACCAGGAAGTACGGAAAGATCTGGTAAGCAATCGGTCTCACGAAGTCGTTCCCAAACTGATGCTGACATAGGGCCACCCGCCTGCAATTGGAAACAGTTTGCAAAGAAACTAATTGAAGTGTGGGTAGTTTATGGTTGCAACTAAATGCAATTAGATAACTCTAAATGGTAAAAAAATCCAATCATCACAAGTCTGTTTAGGTTTGTACAGTGCCCACAATCAATATTATACACGTAGACAAAGATTAGCCAAACCGCTGCTGTTAACAAGGTTGCAAAGGACTGTACGGAGAGTATTCTCACTATAATTATTAGTTGTATTTCTGCATTTAAAAATTCACTGAACGCCCAGACCAAAGCACATGATTTTCTAAGGGGACCACCACTAAAGTTCTATAAAGCGGAAAGACGTTATATGCAGTGTCACGATACCGGATGATGTAATATATTTGCATACAGTTTCTGGAGTTTATGTATATTATTGGTTTGGAATCAAAGTTGCCCAGTTGTTTTGGATAGACCGTAGTTTAAGCGACAAATGTCTGCTTTTCGTTCCCTTACTACTGTAAAACCACACACCTTACAGGAAGACAGTGAGTAGAATGACCTAGGCAAAGACTATAAATGCATGGTGGAATGATAGCATTTCGATTACACGAGGGGATAATGAGACTTTTTCAAGAGGACTGATAAATAAGTAAAGAAATTTTTAAACCCGAACAATATTGTGATTCAAATTAATGTAACTCTAATTCAAAATCAACGAAATTAAAAATGTCCTAATCCATAATTTATAAAATTATGCCTTTACCTATTACCAACCCACGAACAATGTCTCAGTGTATAGCTTTCAGTTACAAGTTGACAGTGAAATTGTTCATTTAAAACAAGTCCAACGTTTGTGAGACACGATCAAGTAAAAACCACGTCCCCAATTATTCAAAACAAAGTATGAAATCATCAATTTGAACTAAAGACTTTCTTTTGACAATGAACGCAAACAACACATGAGCCAGTGGATTTTACAAACAGATTAAGAAGATTTACCTACATACTTACTCCTGTGAAGGAGCAAACACAGCCCAATACCACACTCCATTTAATCCAGTCCTGGGCAATCCTTTCCAGTTGCTATTCACTCCTTTAATGTCTGCTTCCAATTCTCGACGTAATGTGTACTTCAATCTTACACGTTTCCGTTTTCGTTCAGGATCCCAAGTTGGGGCTTGCCTCGTGATGCAGTTCGATGGTCCACTTAATTTATGTCCTATCCATCCACAACATCTTTTCCTGATTTCCCCTTCAGTTGGAAGTTGGTTTGTTCTTTCACACAGTAGACTTGCTGATGGCATCCAACCAATGCACATTGAGTGTCTTGCGTAAACAATTGTTTATAAATACTTGTACATTTTTGATGATGTTTGTAGTAGTTCTCCAAGTTCCAGCTCGTACAGTAGAACTGTCTTGACGTTCGTCTTAGGGATTCTCACTTTGATATTGGTTGACAGTTGTTTCGAGTTCTAAGTGTTCCTCAATTGTAGGAATGCGGCTCTTGCTTTGCCAATCCTTGCCTTTACGTCTGCATTCGATCCTCCTTGTTCATCGATGATGCTTCTCAGGTACGTGGAAGTTCTCACCTCTTCCAGAGTTTCTCCATCAAGTGTGATTGGTTTGTTGTACTTCGTGTCGTATTTCAGGATCTTGCTTTTTCCTTTATGTATGTTGAGGCCTAGTGATGCAGAGACTGCTGCTACACTAGCTGTTTTCATCTATATTTGTTCTTGTATATGGAATAAAAGGGCTAGGTCATCTGCGAAGTTCAAATCATCCAGTTGCATCCAAGCTGTCCATTTCGTTCCGCGTATCCCCTCAGATGTCGAGGTCTTCATAACCCAGTCAACCACCAGAAGAAAAAGAAAAGTAAAGAGTGAGCAGCCCTGTCTGACTCTGGTCCTCACCGTCCTCCATGCACCACTTTGCACTGTAGTCAATCGTATGAATTCCGGGTGATATTGTCGATCTTTTCGAGTACACCATAGTGTCGATGAAGTTTCCATAATGTTCTCCTATCCACTCTGTCAAATACTTTCTCATAGTCAAGGAAGTTGGTGTATAGTGACGAGTTCCATTCATTTGATTGTTCAACGATGATCCGTAGGTACCGCTTTGATGTCCGGTGGATTCAGTTTGGCTGATCTATCCCAGAGTTCTTCAAAGTGCTCTACCCATCTGCTCTTTTGTTCTTGAATCTCAATGGTCGGAATGCCTTTGTCCTTGACTAGTCTCTCTGGTTTACTATATTTCCCTGCCAGTTTCTTCGTTGCATCATATAGCTGTCTCATATTTCCCTCTCTTGCAGCTTTTTCCACTGTCGCTGATAGATATTTCACGTATTTCCGCTTGTCGACCCTAATGCTCCTCTTCACTTCCTTATTCGCTTCTGTGTATTCAGTTCGTGCCTTGACTTTCTCTGTTCTTGTTCGGCTGTTGTTAATTGCTGTCTTCTTCTTCCTCCTTTTTTGAATCTTGCTTAAGGTTTCGGTAGAAATCCATTCCTTATGATGATGCTTCTTGCGGCTCAGAACCTCCCAACATGTTGAAGTTAGTGCTTCTTTGATCTTTTTCCAGTTGTCCTCCATAGTAGTTTCTCCTTCTTTCAGTAGATCTTGTAAGGCTTGGAACCTGTTGTTGACAGTTATCTTGAATTCGTTGAGATTCTCAGTATGTCGAAGGAACGCTGTTTCTCCAGTCGTCCATTGCTTCTTTAACTTCAGTTCCATCTTGACAACTACCAGGTGGTGATCTGAATTTATCCCAGTTCCTCTCCTGGTTCTCAAATCTTCCATTGACCTTCTGAACTTTTTTACTGATGCAAATATGATCGATCTGGTTCTATGTAGCATGATCCGATGAGACTCATGTAGCTTTGTGTATGCGTTTGTGGGCGAAGATTATGCAGCCTATAACCATTTTGTTAAATGCACATGGATTTGTAAATCTCACAACGTTCTCGTTTTTCTCTCTCTCTCAGTCCATGTCGCCCCATGATATCTTCATATCCGGTGTTGTCCAATCCGATTTTGGCTTTCAAGTCTATCATCAGGATTGTCAGATCCTTTTCTGGGCACTTCTCTACGATCGACTGCAGCATCTCATAAATCTGATCTTTATCGTCGTCGTTGCTATCATTGGTGGGTGCATAGCATTAGGTAACACTCTTAGTAATCGCCTCCTTTGTTATGAAGAATTTGCTGATGATTCTGAATCCATGAGATTCCCATCCAATAAATGTTTTTCGTGATTCTTTGGACAGCATTAGAGCAACTCCTTGTGTGTGAGAAGCATTTTTTCTTCATGACCAGAGTACAACAGCACCTCTACTGAGGCTAATCTTTTCTGTTTAGCTTATTTCCAATGGGTTTCACTTAATATAAGCACCGCTAAGTTGTGTCTCATTCAGACAACTGTTTGACTGTCCTCCCGGTTTACCACATTGTCTGAACATTTCATGTACCTATATTAATTGTTGCTCTTGTTGTTAGAAAGGACGTTAGCTTAGTGACTTCCGAAGAATATCGGCTTTCACCATGAGGCGTCATAATAATACTAGACGAAAATCCTTCAACTACTAGAGCAGGGTTTAAATAGTTTAAATTGTTTTTTCTGGTTAGTGATTTCAAAAAGTTTGTTTTCTACAGGATGTGGTTACTAATTCCATGCTCAACCCTCCTCTTTTATTCGGGCTTGGTACCGGCAGTATGCCTTGTACGGCTACAGGAGACATTTCCACAAAGATAAGGTATTCCCGTTAGAAACATTCGGTTAGTCGTATGCAGGGTGAAATCTAACCGCATATGCGTCAGCTCAAGTTGTAAGATTATACATAAGTTGACACCACCGACTGAAAACATCAATCTTATGGATGTATTTGCGAAATTATTTTGCTTCGGTATCACTTGTATTTGAACACGAACAATGATTCAAGTTTAAGGTGTTTCTAGCAAAGAGGACATCAAGTATCTGATTTCTTGCGCTGGTACTTTTGGGGTAAAATCGACCAATTTAGAGTAAATTTCAGGACAATCCCAAACAATCTTCCCGAAAATATCGCAAAATACAAATACAGTTTAAAATCTAGAATTTTATCTGTCCTAGATTCTTCCAAAAGTTCACTCAGGCTTTTTAGTTTTCCTGATTGACGAGTTGAGACTAAATCCTGACTTCGGGATAAATATAAATTACAAAGTTGGAAACTGAATAGGTATTGTCAAGGCAATATGGCTTGATTTGCAAACTGGGAGGCATTAGTTTTTGTTTTTAAAAAGTTCGGTTTGTAATCCAACATACTAGGAATAAAATTTATAAATATAAGAAAAATGTAGGGACACAAAAGTAGTTTTACAGAATGTAAAGAAAGTTATAAAGTGCTAGATTGACCCAAAATGCCCTGGTACGGCCGAGGGTGAAGAGAATCAGCTTTCTTTCTCGAAATGCTCTCATATAGCCATGAGTATACAGCCACTGTCAGGAGAGTCCTACTCACTAACTTCTCACGATAAGGATGTGGTTTACGAAATTGAGAGGACGAAAAGCGAATGTCAGGCGCTTTAAGCCAGTTGGTGGACACGGAGGGTTCACTTAGGAGAGTGGGAAAACCCTGATTCCAAATCAATGGTGCACATGGACTCCAGTATCCCGAGGGAACAAATAGCGTATGAAGCAATTGTTGGTCACCGTCTACCATGGGACTGCATCTCCTTACGTTGCTGCACTGTCTTGTGGATCAGACCTTTAGGTCGAAGGCTTCAGGTGTTGTTCCTTAAGAAAACCACCTGCTTCGATTTGTGTAGCCTGGCAGTATTCTGGCCCTCACACAAATTAGCTTGATTGTTATTGTGCTGCGCATATGTACTTGGTTCGCGCTCATACTAGTGTTCAAATAAATATATAATTTCAATAAAACTAAGACAAGAATGGAGGCAAAACAATATGCATTTGTGATATTTCGTGGTTTATCTATAGCTAACTACAACCGTATTTGTATCAAAGTGTCACGCTATGGTATGAGAAAACATGAAGTTTGCCCAACTGTTACAACGCTTGGTTTTAAATTAGTTGATCATTCACCCTCTTTGTTCTTAAACCCGTCCTCAAATGATCCTACACATGTTTATTCAGTATATACGATATATATATATATATATATATATATATATATATATATATATATATATATAACTGATAATCGTTATTTCAATTCTTTGTTATCAATGCCTGTTACCTCATATTATACCTCAGTGCGAATACGGTTTTAAGTGGCTGAACAGAAACGGCGAAATACGAATTCATATTATTTTGACTCAACTATTGTCTTAGCTTTCATCAACTTCCAAGATAAGTGAAGTGGTTAACGTACTCACCTATTTCACGTCCTATAACTAACAGGGTATGGAGAGCACCAATCATGTTGCAGCATATTATATTCAGAGGAAGAGAGTCGCATCCCAAACATTATAGGGGCTAGTATTAAGGATATTATATTAGTTGAACCCAATCAAGCTGCTTAACATTAGCTCTTGTCTGACAAACTAAACATTATAAGTCCTCAAGAACTGTGAGAAAAAATGTTCACCATAGCTGACTCACTGAATGATAAAGCGTTATTCCCAGTGCATAGAGGTCCCGTCCAGTGGCAGCTCTAGCAGGTGGACTGGGATCGTTTAATCTTGGAAGATAGCGCCCGTCACCTAAATCTTCACCATCACGATCTTCCCCAGCACGTGATGCACGTCCGAAATCAGATAACTTAAAGACGATCCCCGCAGTATCTCCCGCAAGTAAAAGCTAAAAAACATGGAAACAGGTGTAAAAAATATCTTGGATCTGACTTTTGTGGATAAATATTATAAGATTTAATTACGGTAAACCGTCCGTCTTAAAGTTAGGCAAATATATAAGATAGTCTAGAAGTCCAATTTCGACTAAAAGTTTGTTTAGTCTGTCATATAAATTTATCGTACACTTGTGACAGAATAACTTGTTTAACGAGATTCAGTTTACTATACCAATGCACGTAATCACCTTAATATCAAGAGATCTACAAATACATCAACTTGACCAAAGCTAATAAGATGTAACAATATATTTGTCATGCAACAAAAAGTCACACACAATGCAGAGGGTAACACCTTGAGATTAATAAAATCTTACAAGTCTGAACAACCAACATAACTACAATAAATTCTATTGATTCGTAAAATATACTGGCAGTTGGAATTGTGGGAGGAAGTGCTCTTTTGACCTAAAGATTATTCAAGGTCATATAAATACATTCTTGATATTTTTTGGTATGAACGACTGTAGAACGTAGATGGTGAAGTATGTATACTTCATCCCAGTGAAAAAAATAGAAAGAATTCACGAACTGACGCCGTTTCGATGTGGCCTCACTTACCTTTCTTCCATCTATTTCTAAACTAGCACCCATTACTTATCGACGCAGACAGTGGCTAGGTATACGTAACATATGTTTGGACTGCATCTCTTATTAAAGATTCAGAACTTCATCAACTAATCTTGTGTCTAGTTTTAAAAAAATTCACTTGGTTATTCATCGAAATGTGATAAATGCTTCAAAGACACCCATCATCAGAAACCTTTAGCCTAACCACATCTCGTACATTTAAATGCCATTTCCCACACACTGTTTCATCGGCAGACGGATGTCTCACCTGGACTACAGGCAACGAATGTTGACAGAAGAAAACCAGGCTTTTTAATCCTTGCCGAGTTTTCGTCAAACACAAAAATACTAGGGCTGATGAAGCTTTCAATATGAAGGAACCTCAACATAGACTGTCTAAAATTCCAAGCTATGATCCTGAGCAGTTGTGGACAGCGAAAGCAAACACGATGGAAGAGCTGACGGCAGTGGTCAAAGTCTCAGACCTATCTTAACAGCCATTGACTACCGAGTTAGCAATCCTGAGGCTACACTCCGAGGAAATAGGTTAAGATAACAAATCGATTGACGAGGTGGTGAATGAATGTCGACTGAGGTAGTGAAGACATGTAATAAGTATGCCCATTCAATGAATAACTAGATGCGCGATGACTGTAGTAATAGGTTGGACGGAAGATAAGGGAGGCCATGGGATTTCAACTCATTTGCTGTGGAAACGTGAACTATATATATATATAATTTCAACAAAAAAATATTGGTAAAAATAGGCTCCAAATACATATCCACGACACAACGTCCTCAACTCGGAGAGGCCAAGTTTCACAAGCATGGAGCAAAACTGCTCTCACCGACGAGTTGTAGATCCGACCTTTTACAGTCAGACTAACATCACGAAGGCGCCAAAGATGGCCCAGATTGGCATAAGCCGCTCTGGCTTTCACTATACGTGCATATATCTCATCACTCATACCCCCACCAGCACTTATGCAGCTACCCAGATACACGAACTTCTCAACTACTTCTATCTGCTCAATGTCCAGGGTGAGTACAGGATTGGAATCCTGCCAGTCTTGTAGAAGTACTTTGCACTTCGGAGGTGCAAAGCACATACCATACCTACGGACACTGATTGTCAACTGATTAAGTTCGGATTGCATGCCTTGGGCATTATCGCACAGTAAGACAATATCGTCCGTATACTCAAGGTCGAGGAGTCTTTCTCCAAACAATAGATGAACACCACCATTACCTACATCTATTGCGGTTGTTTCCAGGACGTCATCGATAGCAGAGTTGAAGAGGAATTGTGAGATTGGGGAACCCTGCCTAACCCCACTGCTCGAATGGAACAATGGAGAGAGGTGGTTGTATGCCCTCACTCTGCCTAAAGTGCTTGTATGTAGGGCTTTCAAGATGTTAATAAACTTCTCAAGCAACCCTAATGTCAAAATGCACTACGATTGTTGGCTTGTGATAAGTATGACGGTGTTCTAACATCTGGTGGAGGGTGAAGATATGTTCGATATATTCTCGACCAGAATGAAACCCAGCCTGCTTCTCGCGAGTTCATCCTTCTCGGGTTTTGAACAATCTACGAATTATCATAGAAACCAATAGTTTGGACTCAATCGGAAGTAGACTTTTCACCCGATTGTTGTTACAATAACAACATAAACCCTTTTTAAAGATAAGAACAACTATCGACTCATTCCATGATGTTGAAACACTTTCTAGCTCCCAAACATTTGTAAACGACGTCGTCAATTTCTTAACCAGAATGTCACCACCATCCTTAAAAAGCGCTGGAGGTAAGTCATCTGGGCCAGATGATTTGTAACGCTTCAAGAGTTGGAGTTCCTTGCGGACTGCCACCTCATTTGGTGGACCAGTCGTCACCGGCCATGGAGTGTAGGACAGTTTGACCGATGTTGCCGGAGCAACAGGCCAGTTGGACTGCCCTTCGAAAAATTCTGCCCATCGTCCAAGACGTCGATGGATGGTAGTGATTGGCATCCCATCATCCTCACAGATTGTTTCGCTCACACCAGACTTTTTGCTGCCAGTGACTCGGATGAGTTGAGAGGACTTCCGGCAGTTACCAGATGCAGCTGCTGCTTCCAACTCATTAGCACGCTTCGACCACCAGGCTTCTCGGTCCTTACGCAAGCTTTGCCCAATTTCCTTACGTAACATCCTTCGATTATGGTCAAACTCACGATCACTCGGAGTAGAGCGACGGGCTCCAATAAGTTGTAAGGAGCCTGTAGAAACCCAGTGCTTAAAAGCGGGACGTTTCGCGAAGCCGCAAGCGAATGTACTCTCCACTTTGATGGCGCCATGCAAATGCAGCCAATGCTCATCTATACTCTTCGGTAGGATGGTATCTGGCCTTGAACCTAGCTCGGTTTGATATTTAGTTGCGTCAGAAGCTGCAACCAATTTACTGACATCGATCCCCCGTATGCCCTGGTACGACCGAGAGTGGGGAGAGTCCGCTCACCCTCTCGAAATACTCTCACACGGCCACGCATATACAGCCTCTGCCAGGGAAGTCCTACTGGTTGCCTTCTCGTGGCGGGGGGGGGTGTTTACGTCCGGCGCTTTACCCGGATCCCAAACCAATGGTGCACATGAGCTCTAGTATCCTGCCGCGTATGAACCATTCGTTGGTCACCGGCTAACATGGGACTGCATCTCCTTAGGTCTTGGAAACAGCCGCGATAGATGTAGGTAATGGTAGTGTTCATCTATTGTTTGGAGAAAGACTCCTCGACCTTGAATATACGGACGATATTGTCTTACTGTGCGATAATGCCCAAGGCATGCAATCCGAACTTAATCAGTTGGCAATCAGTGTCCGTAGGTATGGTATGTGCTTTGCACCTCCGAAGTCCAAAGTACTTCTACAAGACTGGCAGGATTCCAATCCTGTACTCACCCTGGACATTGAGCAGATAGAAGTAGTTGAGAAGTTCGTGTATCTGGGTAGCTGCATAAGTGCTGGTGGGGGTATGAGTGATGAGATATATGCACGTATAGTGAAAGCCAGAGCGGCTTATGCCAATCTGGGCCACCTTTGGCGCCTTCGTGATGTTAGTCTGACTGTAAAAGGTCGGATCTAAAACTCGTCGGTGAGAGCAGTTTTGCTCCATGCTTGTGAAACTTGGCCTCTCCGAGTTGAGGACGTTAGACGACTCTCTGTGTTCGACCATCTCTATCTCCGAAAGATTGCTGACATCCAGTGGCAACACCATGTCAGTAATGCAGAGGTTCGGCATCGTGTGTTCGGGCACAGAGATGATAATGCAATTGGTGTCACCATCTTGAAACACCGACTTCGGTGGCTTGGACATGTTCTACGAATGTCATCCCAGAGGATTCCACGTCGTGCATTATTTGCCGACTCTGGGACTGGTTGGAAGAAGCGGAGAGGTGGTCAGTGCATGACATGGTGTCGTGGCATGAAAGAAATCTGCAGAGGACTGGCTTCTGTGGTCCTTCACGACTCCCTGTTTGGGGTCCGAGAGATGGTGCTACACAGTGGCTAGAGACGTTATCAGATATGGCTCAGAATAGAAGCCAGTGGCGATCCTGCTGTAACCTTCTTTTACTTTCTTCATAAAACGTGGTTGTGTCTCCCTTACCTGAAAGATTTCTTCTGATTGTACCTTTCCGTTCCCTCATTATTACTACACTACCCTATACCAACCTCTTCGTTATTGTTAACTCTTTTTTTTCACGCTCCTTACCTCTTTTTTTCTTTTCGAATTCTCATTTTGTTTGGCGCATATATATTGGCGCTCTCTTGTACCAATATTTATGTGTTCAAATAAATAAATAAATAATCTATTCGGGTTGATGAGTTTGTTGACCAATGAAACGGTAGCTGATAACGATCTGATCAATCTGAGTCCAGACGTAAGTCACAGAAGAAGGAGGACACCAGATAGCACATCGACGATGACTGTGCCAGTAGTTAGTACTGACCAGAAACAGATTGTGGTCTGTGCAAAGTTGCAGTACACGATCATCGTTATCTGACCTGCGACCAATAAGTCTCATTTGTCATCTAAACGACTTTAACTGGCCCGAAATCTGACTCCAGGTGGATCACATGATTATCGTTAATGAAATCTACATATTATTATTTGCCTAGACGCCATACCTGGACATTCAAGTCTCCGGCTAGTACTACAATATCTGTCGAACGCACTTTCTGGAGAAGAACAGATAACTGGTGGTAAAACTCATCCTTGATTGCATCCGGGCTGCAATCTGTCGGAGCATAGGTGGAGATGACGAAGAGACATCGTTTCTCACGCCGATTTCTTCTCACTTTGATGGAACTTTCTAATCTAACAGCACATAACCGACTGTTAATGGAGATCCAATCGAGTAGTGCTGAACAAATATGATGAACTGCCTATAATTAACCGAACTGCCGGCCATTGCTGAATTTCGGAAACTATGAAAATAACTCAATGTTCTTTAGTATCAACGTATAACAATTGACACCTACATAAGGCATTACAAAACACTAAACACAGTTGAAACCAAACTTTTAATCTACTGAACACTTCAACCAATAAATCACTAAAGATTTAAGTCAAACCCTACTGAAGTTACCTGGATTTCTGAAGATGAATGAATAAAACCTCAGCTTTAACTATGTGGTAACAAGTTTGAGACCTGCAATATAAACTATAATTCAGAAAATTGAGTAGTGTGACTTGACTTTAGGAAAGCTTTGACTCGGAGACAAGTTCGTGAGACGGTGGGACGCTATACTTTTACCGTGCTTCTGGTATTCGTTTAAGGCTGGATCGAATCATGTTACTCCCACATTGAAAATGGTGGGGGTTTTACACTCATATCATCTTTGTAAACCATTTTACAATACTTGACTACTTGCAATCAACCATAGTGATATGAATACTGCAGTAATGAAAGCATACACCTTTTCGCATTGGCTCATGAAAGTGGAAGTTTATTATATGTATAAGAGTACTAATCTATGAGCATCAACAAAGTTTTATATTCGGAATAAATAATGCTGAGCTATATTTTACCTCCTTCGTCAGCGAAACAGTTAACAAGGACTTTTGTAACGATCGATTAAGCTTTAAGTAAAAGAGAACAATCAGTACTTCTTGAACTACCTGAATAAAAAAAATACAAAGGTATGACACAACCGATAAGAAAAAGCCCCCTCTCGAAACGCTCTCATATAGCCATGAGTATACAGCCACTGTCAGGAGAGTCCTACTCACTAACTTCTCACGGTAAGGATGTGGTTTACGAAATTGAGAGGACGAAAAGCGAATGTCAGCGCTTTAAGCCAGTTGGTGGACACGGAGGGTTCACTTAGGAGAGTGGGAAAACCCTGATTCCAAATCAATGGTGCACATGGACTCCAGTATCCCGAGGGAACAAATAGCGTATGAAGCAATTGTTGGTCACCGTCTACCATGGGACTGCATCTCCTTACGTTGCTGCACTGTCTTGTGGATCAGACCTTTAGGTCGAAGTTTTTGGGCGTCATGTCATATCCCAGAATAGTAGAGGTAAGTAATAGCATCAATGGTAATGGGAAAGGTCAGGCATCAAAGATACAATTTGAAAAAATATAAATTAGCGAAATAAAAACAAAAAGGCTTATGAGGTTTGAATTTCAGGAGTTGGGGGAAGATAAAGATTGGATGGACATGCGCCATTGCAAACGATTTTGAATCCTGTCATTCAGAGTCTCTAACCACTGGTGACGATATTCTAACGGGCCCCAACCACGTAGTCTGTACCTATTAAGAAACGTCAGTCCAACTCTCAGTGACTTTATGGACTTGATTTGGCCGCCCTGAACTTTCTTTCAGTGTACTACTATACCAGACATCACAAGTCGGTGTAGGCAGTGGATGGGCGTACGTAACACGTCATAGATATGGTCGAGCTAATGTACATTTGTGATGCTTTTAAGCTGAAAATAACTGTACAGAAACTATTCAGACAAAAACCAGAATAATAAAGAGGCTTTCATCACTGAATTAGACTTTATTTTTGGACGGAGAAAATAAATACACGGCTGCTGGTTGCAACTTGCACAAAAAGGTGGACACAAAGCGATACCAGTAGAATAAACCCATGAGATGTAATCTTAATTCCATCGTTAATGTTACGTAATCTAAAATATACAGCGGAGAAATGCATAGTAAACTAAAAACTCATCAAATCTGTATGTTAACATATGATCCTCGTAATCACACTCGCAACTTATATACAAAATGACTAGTGCAAAAGACTAACAAACGAACTGGATAATTTAAACCATAAATATTAACATTTCCTCAATAAATTTAAAATATGACAAAACGTTTAACTCCGGATATTCGAAAATGATCGTAAGTCCGGAACGTTCCCAAATACTGAATGGCTTCACAAACTAAGACAATACTATTGCTTTGTATACATGAATTCTAAGGCTATTTGAATAAATAGAATATTCATGAAACAGAGTCCAAAATTACTTCAGAAGATTTAGAATCGGTAAAACTGAATAACTAACCTTATGACAGTGGCGTTTGGCATCCATTTCTATACACTCTTTAGCAGACGCTAAATAAGCTTCAGGTCTGCTTAGTTGTATTAGGATATTACTCGGTTTTACATCACCATGGACCATCGACCAATTGGTGTGCATATAATGAAGAGCGCTAAGAACGTGCGACGCCAGGACAATCAACGGTTTTTCGGATAAACGGTTACGGTTTGCATCGCTTGGAGAACCAGATGTAGGAGAACCAGGTATTTCGTTGTCAATGTGGTTGGCTGAGACAAGGGACACAGCTTCAGAAGTGTCATTTTGTCTATCTGGATATAGTAAATGAAACAGACTGCCACCTAAACACAATTCCAACTGTGTATACACGGAGTCAGCCTCGTACCAGGAGCCGAAAAACCTAATTATATTGGAATGTTGAAGCAATGCCAAGGCTTGTACTTCATTCAGCATTTCAACGGATGAACTAAAATAATGTAAATTTTATCGGGATAAACAATGTTTTTTTCAATACGCACATTTATACATGCGATGCCAAGTTTAAAAAGGCGTAAAGTCACTATTTTAAACTGATACTTTGGAGAATTCAGTTAGTTGATCCTCAATTGCGTATGACTCGGAACGGACGTGAAAGTGATGCCCAGCGGCTTATTTACCAAGTCAACTGGCATTACCCAATAATATGGGTTAACAATAAAATGAGAATTCACAAGAACTTTTTGTAGTTGACCTGAGCCTAATAAGGACATTAAATAAGTTCCAAAGTCAGAATATTGAACGCTTAGACTTAGAGATAGACGACCTTAAACCAAACAGCATTGACAAATCTTGTAAACTTTTTCTAACAGTTTGTCTGTGGCGTTTTACTTTCACTGTCGTACATAAAACAAACAACACAGCCTGATCAACGTATGATCTGTTTTTCCTTCTTAAAGGACACAACATAAAACAAAAATTGTATAAGTTAGAGTCTCTAGAAATGTTATGACATAAAGGCGTACAGAAGTTGCCATAAACCATAACATGACTTAAAAACTACGTTCACATTTATGGACTAAAACATGTCTAACTTAAGTAATACCAACTAATTATCTGGTGTGAGGTTTGAAACCATAATCTGAAGACGAGAGAGATTGGAACAGTTACAAAGTTGGGCGTTTGACAAGTTACTTAGACAATATTGAATTTGTCTCCGATTTACGACCAAGACTATGATTTTTACTAAAATACTTTACACTTGTACAAATAATCCAGTACACTATGATGATTCCTAAAGCAAAAACAGTCAGTATCGACCCGGAGAGCTGTGGTAACGTCACTGACTGTGAGGTTAAGTGGTAAGTAATCGAGTCTGCCAGTGGACATTAGGTCCCGCAAGATTACAGATACATCCTGCTAACAAATGCTAGAAAGCATGAAAGCTAGGTAGAGGGTTTTCTGTTGACTTCCTCCAACCACCACCTTACACCTCAACATGGTGTACGCGATGTCGAGTTAACTAGACAAGTGGCCACATTATAACTTAGCCGATTTGATTCGATCTGCACTAAAAAGTACCTGGCATACCACATCAGTCACCACCCAGAGACAAGTTAACTATATATACTCAGCATACAAAAGATGGCTTTTGAAAGAAAATGGAATACAAGTCAGTGACAATAATATGACAGTGAGTACCTTGTAAACTCATATCATCTTACCTTCCATTAAGATGTTCTAGTTCAAAGTCGCAGCGTGACCTCTTTAAGCAATATAAAACGCCACTCAGACGATGCCTAGCCTTATACAACACAGCCAGTCTAGTTCGACAGATATCAACAAGGTTTGAGAACGATCCTGCAAGACTGTTCATTCATTAGACAAAATTAAGTCAATTACTTGTTACAGTTGAAGATCGGGTTCATTCCAATAGGTCTTTCTTCTTGATACTTTTCCCCTGGTGTATACTGGCTCATAAATCTATTCACAGTTCGACGGTTTAGCAAGTCAGGACACACATCTGCAAGGCGAGCATATCTTTCCACAGTTGAAGTCGTTTGCTGACTGATTGTCATGAAGGAATGCATATTTAGATCGTCAACTACAGACTGCCTTTTTCGCTGCCCTGAGATCGAATCAGCTGTGTCCGAAGAATTACAGGTTTCAGGTGTGAAAAGAAGGCGCGGACTCATTGATAAATTTGCAGACTGTGAAATTCGTGCGGATATGTGTAGCGCACGCTGCTCCATACGGCGAGCATAGGAAAGACTATGCTGTAAATGGTCACTTAAGTAACCCTTACCGATGGATCGGTCAGACAAGTCTGGATTATAGGCATGGCCATCTGGGGACGGAGTGTCGCGACCACAGCTAGGAGACATGCAACTAAAATATCCTTTAGTAGGTTGTGAATCGACTTCTAAAGGGAACATATTGCAGACAAAAGCCGACTTCTTGAAAACAAAGGAGAAACTTGCAATCCAAAGTGCTCTGCAGAATTATCGTTGTCTGAATCTCTGTTGCATAGGGAAAATAGTGGTGAATGATCTAGACCATGTCTTGAAATTGTCGGTGTCGACGATGATGGGGACTGGACAACTGCACGTTTGCTGCGCTTCATCATATCACTAGGTCGTTTTTAGCGTTAACCGTCAGTAATTTGGAGTGTAATCAAGAGTTGTAATGTGTATGAGGATAGAGGTGCGTGAGATAAGGAAAATGTAAGCCAACAAGTCAATAACCGCTCAGCGTGAATCAAAATAAATGGCGAGAGTAGGAGTTGGAAATTAAAAATTCACAGAAGCAATCGTATCACCGAAATTAGTAGACGATAATACCGCCCCGCAGCCACATCCAAAACAAGCGGCAGGGCATCACCTTTGTACTTCTTCATGTAGTCTAAGAAAAAATTCAATATCCAATAACCTGTTACCAGCAGGATAAGCACTTATCTCAATGTTTCGAAAGATATTCAAATTTTCACAACATATTATTTGGCCAGTGAAAACTAAGCAGTTGTGGCAGTAATAATAAACGTATGCATCTTCGACCTTCAGACCTCAATAATGAGGATATGAAGTCTTTCGACCAATAATAATCCTTGCAGTTTCTAGTGCTATGAAGATCCAATTACTCCTTGATTCTGCCATCACGTCTTCTGGTAAATCATCATTTGGTGCACAATTTTACTTCACTTTTTATTGGCTTATATGAAGTTTACTTATTTTAGGTCTCAAAGTCAGGTAGTTAGCTTCTCCCGAAACCGCAAAAATTGACACATGATCCACTTTCAGTACACAATTCACTAGCCCACCTGCCAACAGTGTTTAGCCAACGTCAGAAGGCTCGCTACCTTCTAGATAAGTAATGTCTTAATCATAGAAGCATTCAAAGATAGTTGGAATAAGCTTTGATTATCTTTGTATGCAACTCCGCCTGGAGTCCCTCCAGGGGCTACTGATGGTTCCAAGCTCGGATAAAGAAGGAGAGTTGGACATGGAGTTGGCGAGACCATTCGAAAGAAAACTAACTTGCTAAAAAAACGCTAACCCAAAAAATTTTTTCGAACCTTTAAACTCTACCCTGGGAGTCAGAAGGTCTTCATTTAGAAGAGTTATGACGCCTCATGATGAAAGCCGAATTCCTTCGGAATTTATGAGGCCGATGCTCCTTCTGACAACCAGAGCGACCATTTATTTAGGTACATGGAATGTTCGTACAATGTGGGACACCGGGAGAGCCTTCCAAATTGCTGCAGAAATGAGGAGATACTACCTGAAGATGCTTGGGATCAGTGAAACACATTGGACGCAAGTTGGACAACAACGACTAACTTCAGGAGAGCTTCTGTCATACTCCGGCCATAAAGAAGAAAATGCCCCACATACAAAAGGAGTTGCATTGGTGCTGTCCAAACGAGCACAAAATGCACTTATAGGATGGGAATCTCATGGAGCAAGGATCATCAAAGTCTCCTTCAGAACAAGAAAAGAGAGCATTTCAATGAACATCATCCAATGTTATGCGCCTACCAACGACTACAATGAAGACGCTAAAGATCAATTCTACGATAGGCTGCAGTCAATCATCGAGAAGTGCCCAACAAAGGACCTGACCATTCTGGGGGGAGATTTAAATGTCAAGGTTGGAACGGACAACACCGGATATGAAGACATCATGGGACGTTGAGAGATTTGCAAATCTATGTGCCTTCAATAAACTAGTCATATGCGGCACCATATTCCCACATAAACGCATACACAAAACCACATGGACTTCACCGGATCACACTACACAGAACCAAATCGACCATATCTGGATCAACAAAAAGTTCAGAAGATGGAGGGTGTGAGAACCAAGACAGGAGCTGATATAGCATCAGATCATTACTTGCTGGTCGCCAAGATGAAATTGAAACTCAAGAAGCTCTGGACAACGGGGCGGACAATATCACAAATGTTCAATACGGCCTTTCTTCAGGATACTGATTAACTCAACAAATTCAAGATAGCCCTCAGCATTAGGTTCCAGGCCTTCCATGATCTACTCAATGGAGAAGGAACTACTGTGGAGAGCAACTGGTAGGGGATCAAAGAGGCAATCACTTCAACATGTCATAAGGTCCTGAGCCACAAGAAGCACCACCACAAGCAATAGATCACTGTTGATACATTGGATAAGATTCAAGAAAAAAGGAACAAGGAAGCAACGATAAATACTAGCCTAACAAGAGCATGGGAAGGCAAGGTTCTAGCTAAATTTAAAGAAACAAACAAGCAAGTGAAGAGGAGCATCAGAACCAACAAACGTAAATATGTGTGAGATCTAGCAATGACGGTGGAAAAGGCTGCAAGAGTAGGAATCATGAGACAATTGTATGATATAACAAAGAATCTCGTTGAAAATTATCGTAAACCAGAACGACCAGTAAAAAGCAAGGAAGGCAAAGTAATCACCAACATTGAAGAGCAACGAAACAGGTGGGTAGAACACTTCAAAGAACTCTTGAATCGACCAGCCCCACTGAACACACCCAACATCGAAGCAGCACCCACGGACCTCCCAATCAATGTTGGCCCACCAACAATTAAACAAATCAGCATGATCATCAGACAAATCAAGAGTGGCAAAGCAGCCAGACCAGACAACATTCCAGCAGAGGCACTGAAAGCAGATATGGCGGTAACTGCAAGGATACTCCACACTTTCCTCAATAAGATTTGGAATGAGGAATAGGTACCAACAGACTGGAAAGATGGACACCTGATGAAGATACCAAAGAAAGGCGATTTCAGCAAGTGTGATAACTACAGGGGCATCACTCTTATCTTAATACCAGGAAATGTCTTCAAAACGGTTTTTTTAAACACAATGAAGGATTCCGTATGGATCGATCGTGTACAGACCGAATCACAATAACATTGTGGAACAATCAATTGAATGGAATTCATCACTCTACATCAATTTCATTGACTACTAGAAAGCATGGCCATCAGACAAATCAAGAGTGGCAAAGCAGCCAGACTAGACAACATTCCAGCAGAAGCACTAAAAGCAAACGTAGCGGCAATTGCAAGGATACTCCTCATTCTCTTCAGCGGGATTTGGGATGAGGAACAGGTACCAAAAAACTGAAAAGAAGGACTTCTCATCAAAATACCGAAGGAAGGCGATCTCAGCATCACTCTTCTCTCAATACTGGGAAAAGTCTTCAACAGGGTATTGTTATATAGGATGAAGGACTGCGTAGACGCCCAACTTCGTGACCAAGAGGCAGGATCGCGCAAGGATAGATCGTGTACAGACCAAATCGCAACACTACGGATCATTGTGGAACAATCAATTGAATGGAATTCATCACTCTACATCAACTTCATTGACTACGAAAAGGCATTTGATAGCGTGGACAGAACAACACTATGGAAACTTCTTCGACACCACGAGGTGCCTCAGAAGATAGTCAATATCATACATAATTCATATGATGGATTACACTGCAAAATCGTGCATGGAGGACAGTTGACAAAGTCGTTCTAAGCGAAGACCGGTGTTAGGCAAGGTTGCTTACTCTCACCCTTTCTCTTTCTCCTGGTGATCGACTGGATCATGAAGACGTCAACGTCTGAAGGGAAGCGCGGGATACAATGGACATCTAAGATGCAGTTGGACGATCTGGACTTCGCAGATGATCTGGCCCTTCTGTCCCAAACGCAACAACAGATGCAGGAGAAGACGAACAATATGGCAGCAGCCTCAGCAGCAGTAGGTCTCAATATACACAAAGGGAAAAGCAGGATTCTCCGATACAACACAGCATGCACCAATCCAATCACAATTGACGGAGAAGATTTGGAAGATGTAAAAACCTTTACGTATTTGGGCAGCATCATTGATGAACATGGTGGATCTGATGCAGATGTGAAGGCGCGGATCGGCAAAGCAAGAGCAGCATATTTACGAGTGAGGAACATCTGGAACTCAGAGCAACTGTCAACCAACACCAAGGTCAGGACTTTCAATACAAATGTCAAGACAGTTCTACTGTATGGGGCAGAAACCTGGAGAACTACGAAAGCCATCATCCTGAAAATACGGGTGCTTATTAACAGTTGTCTACGCAAAATACTTCGGATCCGTTGGCCGGACACTAGTAGCAACAACCTACTGTGGGAGAGAACAAACCAGATCCCAGCGGAGGAAGAAATCAGGAAGAAGTGCTGGAAGTGGATAGGACACACATTGAGGAAAGCACCCAACTGCGTCACAAGACAAGCCCTCACATGGGATCCTGAAGGCCAAAGGAAAAGAGGAATACTAAAGAACACATTACGCCGGGAAACGGAAATAGAAATGAGAAAAATGAACAAGAATTGGATGGAACTAGAAAAGAAGGCCCAGGACAGAGTGGGTTGGAGAATGCTGGTCGGCGGCCTATGCTCCATTAGGAGTAACAGGCGTAAGTAAGTAAGTATCTTTGTATGCAATGATTTTAGAACAGAAACACATCTCTTGGAACCACTCTTTGAGCTCATCAGCTCGAATTCTTTCCGTACAGAGTTATCTGCCAAAGTTGTGATTATGTATAGTACGCCTCAATGGTTGAAACGTGGTCACTATAGGTGTTGTCACTTTCCTGATCGGGTCTGTTAAAACTATTGTAGTGAAGTTTAAGTTGGCTACGTGCTGAGTAAATTTTGTGTCCCTCTGCCTCGACACACTATTTGGTACCAGATTTTGATTTTAATCGCTCATTGGTGTGGCAGAACAAAGTGAAAAAATCACTTGCTCCAGCTGGATGTGTTTATGATGAGCCGTCTACAATAACCTATGTTATATTAAGGTAAATTGATGAAATATATTGTTCGATTCAAGGATTGCTTTAATTAGTGCACAGGTTTGAAACTAAACCTAAGATTTGGCATAGCTCTCTTAT